TCTGCAGCAGAGATTGGAAACGATGAGTCACGTGACTGGTTCTCTTGTCGTTTCACTGAGTAATATCCTCTCTGCCTGCTCTACGGGAAGAGCCTGGCCTTGCGGTGGGACGGGAGTGGTGAGGAGGGCAGGCTGGGTCACTGCCAGTTGTCAGGACTGTCTGGGCAATGGAATGTGTGCTTGTCAGAGTGTATATGATGGGCAGTTGTCTTAAAGACAGTCTTTCCCTTGCTGTGTTGGTATGTTTATGTGAGCTTAAGACCAAATACTTCATAAGGATTTCATCATCAGAAATCCTCACATAGTTGGAAATGATATCCTGTAGGCTGTGAGGCACATTTGACCTTATTATAAAGATGAGAGAAACAAGGAAAAACAGCCCAAGTTCAGGAAAGCATCCTGCTGCAGCTTCCTCTCTGAGTGTTTGGAGAGATTCCTGTGCAAACCTGACTTTTGGCCCCTGCATTGAACACTCTTACACCCACGCGTGAGCAGGGAGATGCTAGCCTGTCATAGCTCTGTATTTCTGGTAGTCTAGTATTTACTTTAATGGAATAGTTAGATCAACTCCCATGATTCTCAAAATATAGAAACTTGTACTTAGCCACATGCATTACATCCCAAGCTGTCCCGTGGATGCCTGAAACTGCAAAGTCCCAAACTGAATGGAGTATATACTAAGTTTGTTCCTATCTATCTATCTATCTATCTGGCACAGGAAGAGAAGAACAATGAAAATAAAACATAATTATGATTATTTCATTATAAAATTATTTCAACTTTATGAATTTTGGTTATTTCTTATAATTTTAGAGTGCAGTTGCCCATAGGTAACTGGAAGCCCAGTGACTGAAACGGCACGTAAAGCAGGTCCACTGTAATTTAGTGATGTCAGCTGGAAGGACCAAAGGAAGAAGTTTTTATTATACTACATTGAGTGAAGGAAAATCATTTTGAAATAAATTGGAATAAGTTAAATTAATTTCTTTTGATTTTTTTTGTTCAAATTTAAAGTAGAAGTCTATAGCTGGGATGCAAATTGTAGTACTGTATTGCTCTTTTGACACTAAAACCAATTAAAGTGATGTTTCTTTTTTTTTTTGTGTGTGTGTGTGTGTGAATTTGATCACTCTCCTAAAGCTAAACTAAGACCCCTGATTTTTCAAGGAGGCTAAATAAATAAAACAGATTTAGTCATTTCATAAGGTGGGTGGTTTCCTCTTATACAGCCCCTTTTTCTTTTGCAAATTCATATTTTATTTCTTTTTTAAAGATTTGTTTATGTACTTGAAAGGCAGAATTACAGAGAAGGGAAGTCACAGATGCCTTGCATCCACTGGCTTATTTCCCAAATGGCCACAATGGCTGGAGCCGGCCCAGACCAAAGCTGGGAGCCAGGAACTCCATCCGGGACTCCCATGTGGGTGGCGAGGGCCCAAGTATTAGGGCCATCTTCCGATGCTTTCCCAGGTGCACTAGCAGGGATCTGGATTGGAAGTGGAGCAGCTGGGACGTGAACCAGTGTTTACATGGGGTGCAAGTGTTGGAGGTGGGTAAAGTGATGTTTCTATCAGGTACTTATAGTTACCTGCACATGGATCAATCATATATAGAGACTCCCATTTAAACAACTGTAATTTAAAGGTGTTTCTGCAGATGTAGACCACCTCAGTGAAAACGGTTCTGGCAAGAATCCCACCTTGACCACGACAGCCCACCTCTTGTCTGGCTTGCCTTTAGAGGTTCAGCAGACTTACTCCAAGAATTCATCCCAAACTGATTGCCTTCAGACTAGTTCTCTTTCTCCCGAATGAAAACCCCTTCTCTGCCAGACTTCTCATCTGTGCTTACGGAAATCGTGTTACCCTAATTAACAACACAGATCCCAGGTCTGGCCAGTCGTGTCCTCTACTTGTAGCCCTTGGTCCTGGCCACTGTCTGCCTGGATTGTAAGAGTTAATTGATTAACCCCTCCCCCCCGCCCACTTCTTTCTCTTGCTCTCTGTATTCTAAACAGAAAAGTGAGAGTAACTCTTAAAATGTAAGTTGAACAAATCACTTCGCTATTTTCCTCTTCACTTGCTGTACTCTAAAACTGTGTCACCTCTTGTGTGTTGTGAGACCAGCCCCCAGCTCCCTGCAATGTGTCTGTAGTGACCCCTGTTGGCTGGGGTTGCCCCTCTTCCCTTGGACGTCACCAGCCTGTGCCACCAGGTGCAGAAGGGCAGTGCACTCTGCTGATACTCCCTGTCCTCCCCCGTGTGCTCCTCCGTCTGCCATGTTTACAGGCCGTGCAGTTTGCTCCCCCTGCCCCCAAGTCTGTTTTCTTCACTAGGTTTCCCTGTTGGCATCTGGGACTTTTATGAGGCTCATGTATGTACCACAGCTGTGTAGAACTATTCGTTGTGTACCAGTGGATTTTTAGTAAATGTGGAAGCAAATGTGTACACAACTGGTTAGCTGCATCCAGGAAGCGGGAGGTTGCGGCCTGTGCCACTTCTCCCTCTTGTTCAGCCGAAGCTTGGAGTGAAAGCTCCAGGAAGCCGTTGCTCTGATGGTCTGATCAGAGCAGTCGGAGCAGAGCCCGCCTGTGGCTTGCACGCAGGAAATGAACCAGTGAACGAGCTGAGACAGGCCGTGAAGGTATAACGGCATGAGTCTTTTTTAGGACCATAGCATTTTAGATTGGAAATAATTTTTGGTAGTATTTGGGTACAATTTCTAAAAATTACTGTGTTCAAAATATGCAAACAATATAGGTCAAATGATGAAATGATAGTTAACAGTATAGTTAAAATATGGTTAAATGACCCTTCAATGGTCGCATGTTGCTGGCAATTTTATCTTCCCATAGACTGGAATTTTACATCAGTCATGTTTGCCTTACATTTTTTTTTTTTTTTTGGACATACAGATATCTCTTTATTAAGCTGATTTTAATTCCTTTCTTTTTTTTAACTTTTATTGAATAAATTTAAATTTCCAAAGTACAACTTTTTGAATTATAGCGGCTTTTCCCCCCATAACCTCCATCCCCTTACATTTTAATGTGGATAATATTGATGCTTTTATTTTGGGTCAGATATAAAGAATTGGTATTTATGTTGTCAAATTTTGGATGAACAAATATGTTGTGTTTGAATATAACTGACCCATGTTTTAGCCTTACAGACTTTTCCCTGTAAAAGATTATTATCCCTCTAAATACTAAATGTTAGCGACCTTCAGCAGCTGTTGGGACTTTATGTTAGGAACAAGTTTTCCTTCTCTATTTGTTTTCCCGTCTGTTCCTCTGTGCAGTGCAGTAGTTTTGCTTCAGTTCTTAAAACAAAATATTTTAATAATTTCTTCTGTTAAAAACTGCACTGTGGTTTCTAAATTCAGATCTCTTAAATTATGCTTGGTCGTGTAAATAAGCTGTGCTTTGCAACTTTGGGTTTTTAACCTTTGCTCTTTGCTATTAGTGTTATGTTTTTTTAATTATAGGAAAATACAGGACAGTAGGGAAGTTATGACTTAAATGGACTTTTGTTATTACTGTATTCTTTTTTAAGGGAATGAAAAATGTTATTTATTTTGTTCAAATCGAGCAGAAACAAAAATAGAATATCTTGTACTGTTAATTTTTGCTCAGCAGTTAATATTATCACAGTTTGATTCTTTGTGATAATCATCTTTCCACTTGGTGATTGATGATGCGATTAGTTATTTATAATTTGTCCATAGTAGTTATTACATAATATATTAAACAGAATGAATATTGTACATTGTATATATGTAGACTATAGCAGTAATGAAGTCATAGTCATTTAAAGAAATGCAAGCATATCCTTGTGGCCCTACAACAGATTCTTTGATGTGTGACAATAAACAAAATAGGCCAGACTGATCAAGGACAGAAGCATTCCCATGCTTAACAATGGTTCTGTTCTTGGCTTTGCTGGAAGACTCTCATGAGGATGCAGTCTTACGTCTTGTATTGTCCATTTGTGTAAATGCATCCAGATGAATTCCGTGTTTCGTGTTAAGAATCTTATAACATGCCAATTTGATTTGTAGCTCTTCATATCATAGAATGCTAATTAAAATCATATTTTTGCATATGTCATGCCTCTCATGTACATATGCAAATAGATTCTGTTGCCTTTCAGCTATTAGTAATTAACTTTATGAAGGACAGCTGTAATACATAATTAACAAAAATGTTTGCTAGCCCTTTTATACTGAAAGTTACAACAGTAAATTTTTTTTCGCTTATCAAGAGAGCCGTTTTAGTCTGATGCTTCTGAATGAGATCTAAGTTGTTTTAAATAATCACATGATGTAATTAAATTGGTGTTGTACTGTGTTCCCTGGAAGAAGGGTGCTCCATGTACTGCCTGCTGATTCCCGTCCGTTTCATTTTTATGTCAACAAAATGGAATTAAGGGAGCTGATTTGTGTATACATTAAGATAGTATGTCAGGTAATACTTTTTGTTTTTTTAGTCATTGAGATCTTCCTTGTACTTCAATGCTGGAGATACAGTAAACATTTATATCATTTAAAAAAAAAAACTCTCTTTAAATTATTGCCATGTTTTTAAGGAAGCTTCATGAAAGCTATTCATTTTCTCTCTTATAATGCGTCAAATATTTAATACTATCATGATTAAGGTGTGAGATGGGCTGGGGGCACTGTATGTTCTATGGTGATCCTGCTCTATCTTTCTCACAACCAGCTGTGGAGACAGTGACTGGAGAACTACAGTCATTGTTTTGGTCTTTGGGACACTGTTGCCAAACGCAAGTATGAAAATGAACCAGTCAGTTTGGATGAAATTATTTACTGTTGTGATAATATGTTTACTTTGTATGCAAGTGAATTGTTCAAGAGAACAGTTGTTCAAGTGCAATATACTTTTTCATGCTATATCCACATATATGTATTAAGTAGTTTTTGTATAGATTTCTAGCACACTCATGTTTTAGATCCATAATTTCTTTTTTTTTTCCTCTTAGGGTTGCATTTGTAATGAAGAAGCATTTAAATACGCATCTACTAGGCAAACATGGAGTTGGCACCCCAAAAGAAAGGTAACTTCCATTTACTTTTTTTTTCACTTAAGTAGAATTACATTTTCATTTTAGTCTTTGTTTAATGAGAGGACTTCTAGAATTTTTATCAAGTCAATTCATGTTTTGCATTTCTGATACTCTGCTTGAGTATCAAATGTGTGTCATTCTCCCACAAAATTTTAATCACATAGCTTAATTAAACAAAAATTGAAATCTAAAAATATTTGAAAGGACATGGAGGCCTTTGAACCTTTACAACAAGCTTCAAGGAGTAGGAGAGTTGAAGTGGATGGAACTGACTTCTCTAAATACATTAGGGTTGCTAAAACAAATGTAGGAGACTAATCTTTGTATTTTTTATGTATTTTTTCTTTGGAGTTTCGAGATAGTATTTTTGAATTCTTACTGTAGACTTAAACGTTGCTGATGCTACAAAAGAAGTAAATCTTGTGTCATTCCCAAAGTAATACTATAGTTGCCATGTCATGAAAAATAACACTACAATTATTATGTCATCAACTGCCAGGTCTCCTTTGTTTTCTTCTTGCTACTGTATCATAATTAGCTTCATCACATCGACTTAATGATATTAGGTGAACTGAAACAGAGCAGTGTCAGCTACCAGGTGAGCTTGGCCACTTCTGAAATCGGGAAAAAGTGCAGCCCACTCAGGAGGAGTGTGAAAAACTGTCTTCCTGCTTAAAGTCAGCCTAGATTTTCAGCTTCCTTCAGACTCTCCTAGATAGTATCCCAACATTTTGCAGATGTATTTTGGAAAGTTTGCTTTCTTAATGCTTATTTTTTATTGATATATTAAAATATCAAAAATGACACAGTAGCTTCTGCTTTGAGGTCTGAGGCCTCTTCAGCCATATTTGTAAATGTTTTGTAGTCTCTTCAAAAAATCTAAAATGCTCTTGCCTTATTTTCTCTGTGAGGAATTTAACTTTTCCAAGGGAGGTGACATATTTTCTTTAATATTATAGTATGAACAGAGTTTAATGTTAATATATTGGGATATTTCATGTGCTTCCTTTTTACTTACACTTTTGGTTTGCCATACTGTGTTTAACTAAACATAACATACTGTATATAACACTGTATTTAATAATTGTGGCCATGATGTATGCATTGAACATGTCACGTATATTTTCAAGTTTTAAATAATTTTGTATTTAAAAAAATAATAATTTAGGCCTTGTCCAAGTTATGTCTCCTACGTGTTTATGTAAGTGGAAACAATACTTATTTTTCATTATATTCCATTTGTTTCCAGATGCATTATCTCAGTTTATAATTCTGTGACCTTCTAGCCCTGAGTTATTATTGTACCTGTAAGGACTCATATCCAGAATTACTGCTGGGTTCATAACTAATAAATGCTGGAACTGGCTCTTAATTTCAGCACACATTTGAACACAAATAGTCTAGGTCAGATAAGTAATAAAAAGACAAATGTTTCCCAATATTACCTTTAAATAGTATGTTTTAAACCCATATATATCATTTTAGTTTTTAATTTTGGAATTTTATTGAAGTGTTTGTTCATATTATTTCATGAATAGGAAACGATCTCTCAATTGTGTGTGTATATATATATAAGTATATATGTATGTGTGTATCAAACACCTTAACATTAGTAATACCTCCTGTATGCTAGGAGAGGAGTTTGAGAAATTAAATGCATGCTGCTTGAATTTTTTATGGGTTGAAGGCCATTTTTTCTTGCCTTTACTCATTTCAGTCCCAAGTATATGGACTACAGAGGTAAGAGATTCAGTGTCTTTCTCCCCTTAGGCACGGTCAGCTTTTCCCATACATCAATACTACTTCTGTCCTAAAATCAGGGAAGGAAGCCCGAATACGTCTCAGTGCACACCCATCTTCTGCATTATTGCTTTAGGTAGTCCAGGCTGCAGTGTTCACCTACCACAGGTGGGGAACCTTTTGTCTGCCATCGGCTGTTTGGATATTTATCACATCATTCGTGGGCCATACAAAATTATCAGCGTAAACATTAGCCTGCTGTAGATTCATTAAATTTCAAGCCCATTCATAGGGTTGCCTTGGCAGGGCCAGACCCAGGGATTTCTCAGGCCTTGTGTGGTCTTTGGATTGGATGTTCCCCACCCCTGAAGCCCAACATCTTTGAATTGTTTTTGCTATTCAGAGTTCTTTGTTTCAGAGGACTCCTTGTTATGCAGTGCCTATTCCTATGGCATGTTCCCTAGTAATACTGAATTGGAGGTCTAACACTTTGACCACAACATAATTTTGCAGTAGATGGCTGCGGCTGCCGAAGACCGCAATTTAAGTGGCATCATCTGGCACAGGAGGGAGGCTCCTCCCTCCTTCCTGTTTGTGATTTTAGGAAGCAGGGAAACTCTTTTTGTTTCTGTTGTTGTTGTTTCAGAGATTCATTAAAAAAAGATTTACTCATTCATTTAAAAGGCAGAGTTACAGAGAGAGAGAGAGAGGGAAAGACCGAGAGACATCTCCTGTCCATTGGTTCACTGCCCAAGTGACTGCGGTGCCAGGAGCCAGGAGCTCCATCTGGTCTCCCATGTGGGTAGAGGGCCCATCTTCCACTGCTTTCCCAGGCACATTCGCAGGGAGCTGGATCAGAATTGGAGCAGCCAGGACTCAAACCAGAACCCATATGGGATGCCAGCATTGTAGGCTTAACCTGCTGTGCCACGGGCTGCGCCAGGTAAACTCTTTATTAGCATGCGGAACCATCAGTTTGGGCATAACTGTTCTCTGAATGAAGTTAAACATTTTCCTTACCCACTTAAAACATTGATGCCTTGGGTATAATTTTGCAAGCTTGCTATATTTTAATCTGTTCAGGAGAGTATAATCAGTTTCTTTTAGTGTTTTGAATTTGATTCTTTCCTCTAAAGCATTGCGTATTATATCAAATGGTAATAGAAGTTAACTAAATAGGTTGTGACAACTAAGTTAATAATGCATTTTGTTTGCAAGTGTTTAGGTCTTTTGTTTTGAAGGATGTATGCAAAAATGATAATTCAAAAAATAAATTTATATGGTTGAACGGTAATGTTTGATGAACAGTAAGTTTTATCAGTATAACTCTTAATTGGAAGTAGAAAATGAATTGTTTCCAAACACTTTCATTTGAGACTCGATGAATACCTGGGCTAAGAACGTACTGTTTTTGTCTTAAAATTTGGATTAACTGATTTTAAGTTGGTATATTATATTATGTCTGCAGTCCTGCACACATAAATACGAACAAGTAAGTGTACATACAATTCACGTTCTAAAATGACTAATTAATTTGCAAGTTCATTCTAAAGCATACCTTTTTTTAGAAGTCATTCTCTTTGTAGCATGAGTAAGCCGAAGTATCTTTGTGACTCTGAGTTTGCTAGTAGTAATCCAGAACAGGGGCTTATCCAAAGCTCTCCCCTTAGAACGAGCAGAGTAAGTCCCTCTTCTTTGAAAGCCACGTGCGTGATGGTGGAAAGGCCTGGCATTGGCAGTCAGCTGGGCTATGAGTGACTATCTCTAAGTAGAAGGCAGTGGCTTCCAGGAGTCTCTCATCTGCTGCATTCCGCTTGTGCTCTGAGGGTTACTAGGCAATAATCCTTCCTGGTAGCGTCTCTTGAAGATGGCCTCACTCACAAAACCATTCTACCAATAAAGGATTTAAGGCTGGATGAGTTCATTATAAAGAATAAACTTTAAATCATCTCATAGCCAATAACATGTACCCATATTTTTACAAATGAATATCCAGATATCAGCTCTTAGTTTTTTTTCAGTGAAGCCAATTTTGGGGGGAGCTTAAGAAAGTGTGTACTTTCAGGTGGTGCCTTATTGTCAGCATCCTGTTGAGGGGTTCAGGCCCATACCAGTACGCTCAGGACTAATGGGATTTTCCTCAGATTTTTGCAGATTCGTGAGCCCTGAAATTTGTGCAGGCCTCTCCCCTGTTATCAGACACATGGGATTTGGGGTTAACCTTTTTCTTTATATATATACATATATATATATATATATATATAACACCTTTGATCTTATTAACAAGTAAAATCTTTCTTCCACCTGTTCTTTGTGTGGGATGGAGAAGACTGACCATTCTAGAACTGTTTGATTGTTTTAAGGCACTAGTGTTGTACCTGACATTGGGTGGTTCTTTTTAGAGGCTATTTTGTCTCCTTTCCTTCCCTCTTTGCTCAAAAATTTATATGTATGTGTTATAAAAACACCATCATTTTTTTTGTTTCTCAAGGCTAAAGAGCCTTTTACCCTTTTTCGTGAAGCATGAAGATGAACATTCCTGGGCAGAGTATACTCTTATCCATGCAGTTGTTGCTGGAGCTGTGCCTAGTACGCCTTTTTTTTCTTTATTTGTTCTTTTAAAGATTTATTTATTTTACTGAAAGAGTTAGGGGAGAGGGGGGGAGGGGGAGTGGGGAGAGATGGGGGTAGGAGAGAGGGGAGGGAGAGAGGAGGGGGGAGGAGAGGGGTGGGAGGGGGGGATGAGGAGGGAGAGGGAGAGGTGAGGGAGGGGAGGGGGAGGTGAGAGGAGGGGGAAGGGGGGATAGGAGGGGAAGGAGGGGGAGGGATGGGGAGGGAGAGAGGGAGAGAGGGAGGAGAGAGAGAGGGAGGAGAGGGAGGGAGAGAGGGGGAGGGAGGGAGGGAGAGAGGGGGAGGGGAGGGGGAGAGGGAGGGAGAGAGGGAGAGAGGGAGAGAGGGAGGCAGAGAGGGAGAGAGGGGGAGAGGGGGAGGGAGGGAGAGAGGGGGAGGGAGGGAGGGGGAGAGGGGGAGGGAGAGAGGGGGAGGGAGGGAGGCAGAGAGGAGAGAGGGGGAGAGGGGGAGGGAGGGAGAGAGGGGGAGGGAGGGAGAGAGGGAGGGAGAGAGGAGGGAGAGAGGGAGAGAGGGGGAGGGAGAGGGAGGGAGAGAGGGAGGGAGGGAGGGAGAGAGGGGAGGGAGGGAGGGAGGAGGGGGAGGGAGGGAGGGAGGGAGGGAGGGAGGCAGGCTTTACCTGC